CCTCAACCGCGCGAGCACAAGCGGGGGGGGTGCTAGGCCGTGGGCCCACCACCCCCCCCCCCCCCCCCCAAAAAAAGAAAATTATACAGTGGTAGCCAGCAAAATCGATAAAGCTTTTTTGAATTTCAAAGTACCCCTTTGAGATATTTTCGCAAACATCTTTCAAGAGTGTCTCGGCCAAGGAGGAGAATCTGGCGATGACCCTTCTCGAATAATCGGAAACTATCTTTCGTATGTCGGTAAAAAACAAGAAGTTATGTAGCAAGTTGAAAAAATCAGTTGATTTTGCATTCACAATCCAGGCTCAAAAGATGATTTTTGCTAGAAAATTCCGAACAGATGTTAAAATTTTTTGCTTGCCGAAAGAATTACTACATGTGCGTACTTGGCCTGAAAATATCTGTGACTTTTCTGTTTTCATAATAACCTTACTGCTTTCTTCCTTCTCAAGCGTTTCATTTTCGAGTAGCCGTTGCTAGCGTGGCCGTCTCCGGCGGCGAAGTTGCTAGACGTTATCATAACACTTTTCCTTCCGAAATAAAGCAAAGAAAAGAAAAGTTTTCATGAATCTGAGCAAAATTTTTTGCTTTGCGAATAATAGAAGTGATTCTCTTGAAAATTTATTAGAGAAAGTCGAATTTGGAGGAAGATGGCAAAAAGTTTGTGCTAAACTTGCTATATTTTAGATTGCAAGAAAAAGACTAATATCAGATCTGATGCGAAAAAAATTTTGCTTCCTCCAATTTTCGCTGTCTCAGGACGCTACTTGCACCCCCTCAAACATGGGACCCTCACGCGGGATCTGATTACCATGGGAAAATTTCAGTCAACGTCCTGAGAGGATTAGAGTCCTGCGCAGGTTCAGCTTTTGGAACCCGAACCCGAACCGACGCTTTTTGTTTGTATAAACTCAAGCCCAACACGACCCGACAAAGTCAAATTCAAACCCAAATTCGATCCGATCCGATGAAGTGGAATCAGAAACCCGATCCGAAAATCTTTCTAGTTTGCTTTTGCTCAATCCGCTGTTTCTTTCGAATATAGTTATTGAATAAGACCGAAACCTTCATAAAAGACGGATTATATATTAATGTAGTACCTAAAGGACTTTACTAGTCCTAAAGCGAAATCGAACTCTACTGTTTTCGCACATAGTATCAGTACACTGTTCATGATTTGCATAGATTATTTAATCAATATAGTACCATGCGATGATAAGATGTCAATTGTTATGTAGTTCTATCTTCACTAAGAAATACTGATAGCAAAGTACTTGTTTTTAAAGTTCTTTACACTGTTATCTACTGCCACATGATTTAGAAATGATAGATCGGATGATCACCACCATGTCGTATTGGGAGAAATGTTTGGAAGCAAAAACCAACATTACAGCTATTGCTTACGCGTACTATTTTTGCAATAGAACGCATTTGAATGAAAACGATTTTTTATATTCTTTCTTCAACATGTGCAACAGAAAAGCTAGCGAAATAAGACTTCTCCAATAACTATTGTGTTCAAATTTATTGACAATTTTGTTTTGAAAACTTTAATAGAGTGGACAACGATTTCTTAATTGCTGAGTATTATTTGAGCCAATATCATTCAGAACTTAGTAATTAATTTAAAGTATGTAAGTACAATAATCTGTCTCTTCTCTAAAATGTTTGTCCCTATTTTATAAAGGGTGTGGGTGGGTGTGGTTGTGGGTGTTAGAGTCCTGCAGGAACGATTTTCCCCCTGTTTTCCCGTCCCGTTTCCCGAGGGAATCGGAAACGGGAATTCCCGTGAGACATCAGCAACGGGAATACGGGAACGAGAATTCTGGTGGGTACTCCGATAACGGGAACACAGGAACGGGAATTGTATTAAATATCTCTGTTCCCGGTAAACCTTATGTCCGATTTCTGTTTGCATTAAAATCTGTTAATGTTATAAAATTCGATTTCCAATAACTATTGGGTTGATGCAAAATTAACGACCGTTTTTGTTAGCGATCATATTCTCGCTTTCTCTTCTTTTCTTTTTGCTATTTGAAAGAATGTTTGTGATGTAGTGCCTCTTGCTTAGTCACTACATCACAAACATTCTTTCAAATAGCA